AAAAAAAAAAAAAAAAAAAAAAAAAAAAAAAAAAAAAAGGAGGAGAAAAGGGGGAAAAAAGGATCACAGAGATCATACCGTTACATTTAATTTCAGAGAACAAAACCTAAAGCTGATTTCTCTTTAGATCAGTTGTATACCAGTTGGAACATGGGTGCCTAGCACTGCGACTCAGTAATATGATCTGAGCTTTAAATAGCTGCCAAATAACCATGTGGTGGCTGGCAGCACTGAACGTGTTGCAATGAGAGTGATCTGTTTCAAAGTAAACCCACATAACAGAGGATAAGTCAATCTGATGTGGTAGAGTAAAGGAGTGGAGGGGATAACATTTTTCATTATCTTTCTGGGTTTCATTCTTCCTTAAAAGTGCTTCCATCTTAGATAAGGATTTATTTGAGGTCTTTTCCTTAGCCAGTTTAAAACTTGAATTGCATGCAGGTCATTTCAGAGGATGCCTCCCTCCGCAGCCAAGGCACAGGCTTGGGTCAATGATGTGCCAAATGTGAAATATCATCGTGATGGCACCGAGACTGTCTCATTGCTGAAACCATATTCAGAGTCACTGCTTTCTAGCATGAAAGCACCTTGCATGTGTACATATTCCCCTTATTGTCTACCAAATGCATCCTTGACCATTTTTAGGAAAGGGTAAGGAACATATCTACAGCAAATAAGATGGGGTGACTTCTGCTCCAGGCACTCCCCTTATCCTCACAGCAAAGCCTGGTAGCATGGTAGCATGCCATGAGGTCCATCTTAGGGAAATACCAGATGCAGAGTCTGGAGGTGTCAGACAGGAGGATGCTGCCAGCCCTCCTTTCCTTCTTACCTTCATACCAAAATGCTCTTCTGATCCCCATTGCTAATGTGTTTCCTGTGTAGATGACCAACATTTTGGACTAGAAGGACAGACTAGCAAACTGATTAAGACACTCAGATGAAAAAGTGGTGCTGTCTATGCTTAAGAATTCTTCATCCCTCCTGAAACTTTAGATCCTAGATAATTGCTTATATATTATTGACTTTAGCATCTCTGTGTACCTCAGCAGCAGGAATCCATGTTTTCTCTAAAAGTGAACACAGCAGAATTTCAGCACACTTTATTTTGTCTTCCCTGTGTGGAAATCACACCGCTGGAAGTAGCGATTGGAACAGGAGAGAGAGAAGAAAACCCAGTTGTTCCATCAGAAGATAAATAGCTCTTTTAAGAAGTTCAATCTGACTTCTTAGTAATTAACGCAATGTATGTGGCAGACAGCTAGGATTTTGTATGAATGGAGACAGCAGCACAGGCACTACTTGTGAGCATCCCACTAGCAGCTTATTAGCTCGCCACAGAGCGCAGACCCAGCTGCAGAGACATCCTGCAGAGAAACAGATCAGCCTTTATGATGCATTTCCTAAAAGGCAAATATTGCTTTAGCTCCCTAACATAAACGTCAACAGATGACCACACGTTTCATCAAGGTCAACTGCAGAGAAACTTCCAGCAGCCACCCCAATGAGTATCAAGGATAAACCAGGGGCACATCCTTTCCCGTCTGTTTGTGTCAGCAGCTGCCTTTGCCGCATCGTGTCAGCATGCCCCCTGGGAATCCGCAACAGCTGCACAGCAGGCTGGCAGAGAGCAGTGCAGAGGGACAATCAGCCTTTCTTCTTGCCTCCATCCCCTTGTTTTTGCACTGCCGCTGTGGGCAGTCACTGTCCTCACCAGATTTGCTCTGGACAATCAGATGATCAGATTGAAACTAATCAAAAAATCTTTCTTACCTACCCATTCCTTTCACCATCACTTTTCCAGACACGTGACTTTAAAAAAAAAATCTCTGCTGATTTGATCACAGGCTGTTGAGCCAGCCAGGCAATTAAAAACAACCCCCAAAACCAATAGTTTTGCAGGGAATGGAGTTCTTTGACCAATTTCACAGAATATTTTGATTACAGTATCTAATCCCTTTTACGATCTTTTACCCAGATTTAATCATGATAATCCCTGTATCATCGACAAGGATTTTCTGGACGAAAACAAAAAATGTCTGGAAGAGTGCCACAGAGGGAGTCTCCTTAGCTGGTCTGTCTTCCCACAGTTCTGACAAACTCTGGGCAGCCTGGTCTGGTGGTTGGCAACTCTGCACATAGCAGGGCAGTTGAAACTAGATGATCACTGTGGTCCTTTTCAACCCACACCATTCTGTGATTCTATGATTCTATGAAAACCATTCCTGTGCACATAGATTTTAATGAAACCAGAAGTACAAAGGTAAGAGTATGCTTTGAGGTAACATTTACATGGAAATGCTTCCTTACCACCCAACACCCTGGTCTATGACAGCTACTTGTCACTTGTACATCACATGTGCTCAGTGAAACTCCTGTCTTGGTGTGCGCAAACAACCCGTCTGTACCTCTCAGAAGGAATCTCTCAGGTCTACCATTAGGAGAAGAAAATGGTATCCAATTAAAGCAAACGGATAGAGCTACAGACTAGTGCCAAAAGTTTAAGTCTGAGTGAAGAATTTATGAGGGCTTAAGCAATTTCTACTGACGCCAGAAAGGCTCCCTGAAGTTTCTAAGAGAACTGTCAGAAACACCTTGGATGTTCAATGGCCATTACTCCCGCAGCCTGACCCAAAGAGCTGCCTCTGAGAGATGGTGTCTTGCCCATAGGAGTGTAGCTAATTTAGCTGACTAATGGAGAGAGCCCTGAAGATGCACATGGGCTGAATTAAGGGCTCCACAGGAGCCTTTGGCTCATTCCTTGCAGAGTTTATTAGTTGCTGCTGCACACATGGCTAAGTTCCTGGAAGAAGTCCAGCTCTGAGGCACCTCTCAATTCCTCCAGCTTCTAAAGCTTGCAAGAAAGTGGCTCAAGTGTTTTGCCTCCTCTAAGCTCTTGTGTAGAAGGCCTCCCCCCCGCAGAGAACCCACAGGCTTCGGGAGGGGTGTGCAGCCCAATGACTCCCAATTATTGAATTTACCTCCCCAATTACTGTTGAGTGTCCTAGACTGTAAAGGGGTAAATACCAACAGACTGTATTATTTGAGAAACAGTATGCAATTGTGTAATTAAAGGCAGGTGTATAACACCATGTGCAGCAGAGGAAGGGTAAATTTCAGCATTTCCTGATTAACCAAGGGCATTACGGTGTAAACCTAATGTTCTCAAGATGGCTATCATTTATGTGGAGTTCATGTATAAGTTTATGAATATTTGGTTAAAATTCACCCATCATACCCTCGTACACAGTAATTAAAAACATCATGTTAGTAGCCTATAAAAATATTTTTGTGATTTGGTAATTATTCCAAACATCAGAGTTCCGTGCTCCTCTACCCCCTGCCCTTGTTTCTTCCTGTTCTATATTGTATCAAGCTAATCTTGGTGATGGAAAAATAAATAAGTAGCAGGGGAGTTTGGAAACCTTCCAATCACAAAAGCTCCTGAAATTGAAGCAATATCCAATCTAGCTTACCACATCTTCTAGGTGGGCACTCCTTTCCTGCCTTTTAGTGATGCTTTTAGTATTCAGAACAGCTGTGGAATTAAGCATTACAAACGAGAAGAAACCAACATGCAGTCTTTATTTTTCCCCATCAGTTCCATTGAGTTATTAGGTTACAAAGTGAAAATGAACACACTCTCAGACGGATTTAATTTCAGTTTGGGCCCAATGCCAGACAAAGCAAGTTTCCTCATAGTTCTCCACCCCATCTTTTCTATACCATGCATATACTCCCATCCTCACTCCATCTTACATTAACATATACCAAGAACAAGCTACTTCTACAGCACAGAACCAGATCCTCCTCCCTTGCTGCCTTTGCTGGTCTTGTTGCTTTCCAGGGGATGACTAGCAGCCAGGCCAGATCTGGTTTGTAATGCAGATTTTTAATATTTAAGAAAATGTTGGCTACATAAAATATACATTTTCATACTCTGGGTGTTACCATCACAGTAAATCTTTCGTGTTACATCACCAGGGAAATGTTTCTGGGAGGAGCCAATCACTCCCAGATTTCAAAAATAGATCAAATACTTGATTAAAATATTAAAGCTATAATTCAAAGTACAGTTTTTGGCATAAGGTTAACTAGTGATTTAGATATGGTGTTTTGGCTTACAAAATCATGCAACAAACATGAATTTCAGAATACACGAGTATACAGCATCAGCAAATCCATACAGAAAGGAGAAATGTAACAGAAGCAGTTAAGCTTTTACACGTACAGACTAGCACCAAATTGCTATTCACTGCAATTGTCTTCTTTCTTGCCCTCTTCCCATGGACTCTTCATGAACAACTGCACTCTATTTTTATAGACTGCAGATGTTTGGTTGCATCAAAGCTAAGGCAGGTAGTGGAAAACAGGAGAGGAGGTAGATTTAATTACTGTGTTTGAACATTTGTTTTCCCTCCATCTTGTACCATTCTCCGCAAGTAGAAGCACATGATCAATACTAAAAGACAAATGCATAAAATGTTGATTTGGCCCATTTCATATTGGGCTTTTGGTTGCAGAATATTTTTGCCTTCTGGTTTGCAAAACTGCAAAAATGCTGCAAATAATACACTGTGGAGAATTATGTGTGTACTTCCTATAGAATTAAAAGGGGTATTAAAGGTGGTTTCTTCCTGTGTTGAGTTTTATGTCCTTTACTGTTAAACAAGTAACAGAAAAAATTCCGTAAGTGTGCCTGCATACTTAGGATTGTCATAACGGTAATGATGCACAAAATTGTGTCATGAAGTTTCATTAGGATTCCTATACTCCGTTTGGCAGTGTATGACTAGTCTGAATTTAAATAAATGGCACGCCCTACCAACAAGAACAGCATGCCTGCTAATAAAGCAAAAAATACTCCTATTGGAGCCAGCATGAAAGACCAGCCATAGCGTACATAAACAGCAAAGTCTGGGCAATCCATTTTTTTCACGTTTGTGTAGTTTTCAAGATCAGCCATCGCCTGGACCCAGATGACATACATCACGACTACCAGTGAAAACAAGACACCTGGAAAAGAAACATCCAGTTTTAACAACAGATTGTGAGACAAATGCTGAGTGCATTTACTGGTTACAGTAATACCTAGAAATCCACCCATGTTTGCAGCCCCTCTGCAAGGCAGTCAGCCACTACTGGGTATTTTTTGCCCTTGGCTTCTTCTAACAAGCTTCTTCATTTCTCTGCCTTGCTTCTGATCTGCAATGAAAGTCACAATGTCGTGGCAAAGGGTACGTTTGGTTTTGGTGTGCAGAGTGTGGCACAGTCATGTTTGAGGATAAAATTCACTGCTTTGAATTCAGAAGCCAGAGAAGGTGGAAGGAGAGAAGGTGGGATGGGGTGACCTGGAAAATAAATTCTACGTATGCTTCCCATATTCTGATATTGTCTCTATCACAGTCTTTTGGATGACATATAAGGGGAAAAACAGTAAGGGATAGGAAATCTTTCTATTCTCATCACCTCTCTACATTTTTGCCTCTTTTTTAATGAGAAGCACTTTGTTTGGAATATTTGGAGTATTCTTATCAAGTAATATGCAGACAAATTCAAATATATTTCTCTCAAAATCTTCCACATTAGAAAAGAAATTGCTGGTATATGAACAAAACCCAATAATAATGAAGTAACCACTATGAAGCAGGTATTAGTATCAACTTCAGAGTGAATACAAGAGTTTCCTGGAATTAATCCACTTAATGATTCACAACCTTCTCCCAGCCACTCCTCTGAAAGGCCTTTGGATTGTATACACATGATAGCAATAAGAGCACATGTCCTTACAAATTTTGCTAATCTCTTTGTTACTATAAACCAGAAGGAGATTTAAGAAGAAAATGCTTTCCAAAGTATCAGTTGCATGCCTAATCTTTTATTTTAGTTTAGAGGAATGTGGACACTTAGGAAAGGCAAGCCTGAAGCACAGATGCTCCAGCAGAAGATTCACTGGAAAGCTGAAGGCACAAGTCCGAATTTTTTGCATGCTCCAGCCTGTACCCACTTGCTCCCTGAGCTTCAGCTGTCGTAGTACATGGAATAGGAGCAGGGCTATCTATTCTAACATTAAAATATTAGGGGCACACCACCTATCTTTTCCTCTGATGACACATATACTTCATTACAACCATAAGGCAACGCAGTACCTCTGGGAACACTTACTGCCAAACCTAAATCTACAGGCTGAAGAGAGCAGAGTACAAGTCTAAGGTGCTTGAGGTCTCTTCCCAGTCCTGTTAAATACTTATTACAATACAGCCCTGAACAAATGTGACACTTGTGACAAAATCCGTAAGTGCACTTTGAAAGTATCCACAAAGAGGCATTTGCCTCCAGATCCACTCATCCAGATATTCTTTCATGGTTCCCATTCCTTATCCCCATCCTGAGATGCTCCCTCATCACTGCCTTTCCCTACCATTACTATCCACTTAATGGGGAGCAATAGGAGTTGCATCAATCTCCCATTTGCTTCAGGCAAAATCAGACAGGTTGGCTTCCACAATTGATGATGGCGATCTGTTGAGATTCTTGTTGTTGCTTTATAGTCAAAATGTAATAAGTTTACATTCTGGATGTCCTGAACATTTGACAGGTGAAAGCTCACAACTCAGTGTTTATGATCATTGTCTTTTGAAGCCCATGAAAAAAATAAGCTGAAGTAGTTAACCTGAGGCATAATCAAAACATGACCGAAAATCCCAAAGGATTTGCAATTTCTAAGAGACTGAAAGAGAAGAGAAAAACTTAAAATAAGAAGGAGGCAGGCACTTTTCCTGTCTATGAAATACAGTAATATATTTCCAGGATTACATTTTTTGCACAGGCTTGAATTCTTGACAAAGTTTAAAAAATAAACAGTAAAGGGAAAAACCCAACCCTCAACACTCAAAGGCATACATTCAATTTTGGAAGCATTTTACCAAGAAAAACAAAATTTTGACAGTATTTAGTGCTACAGTGGTATTAAACATACAACTGTTGAAACAATCATAAGGAGGGATCACCTCAGGGTCAGATGTAAAAAATAAAAAAGTAAATTAAATTGAAGTCAAATTGAGCAGAAGATTTCTGTAACAGAACATGTAACAGATAACATAGGCAACAAAGGCAAATTAGATCCAAACAGAGCTCATAAGTTTTGATGCAAAAAGTGAAAAGATTCTGATCCAACTTCATAAAAGAAATTCTTAGGCATGGAGTTTGTTTAATGTTTCAAAATGTCAACAAAAAAAAAATGTCCCACAAACAACTCAATTATTTGGAAAAATACATTGATAAGATGGAAAAACCCAATCAAACATTGGAATTTATCTCTTCAGATGGCTGTGGCAGTTTCTTTTCAAATGCCCATAGTCTTCAATTTATCCTCTATGCTGGGGCAACGTTAATCCAAACGAATAATAAATACAGAAAGCAATGATGTATATTGCCTTATTATGGCATCAGATAAGTACAAGACTTTGAACATCTGGAACACTTTTGACGTCCAGCATCCTGGGCAGACACAAAGATAAGCAGCCCAGTTAGTATGGAAGGATCAAAACAAAAGTCTTTGAGAGGTGCTTTAATCTCAAAAAGGGCACCCCTCATTCTTCAGGCAGTCTGAAGAAACACCTCAGTGGTTAAACTAGAGCTGACTGTACATAGGTGCAAAATAGCAGGCCAGTGCTGCCAGTGGTATAACAACTTCAGCTAAGCTGAAATCCATCAGGTGATTTCACAGCAAGCTGCTAACACGCGTCTGTGGCAAATTGCTGGGTATGGAAATTTGCTCAAGAAATGTATGTCAAGCAGAGATAAATGTCCTTTAAAAAGAAGAAAAAGGAGTGAAGAATATGTAAACCTTCTTAGTTAATTAGGCACTGAAAGAGTATTTAAGGGCTCTCACTATCTACTAATGGAAGCTAATTAGTAGGTATATTGTTCGGTGTTTTCAAGAAATGTCTTAAGCAAAGGAATCAGGCTGAGTAAAAACTGCCCAAGTCACATTGGCTCCGATAGATTTCATTTGTTACTGCTCATCTTGTCTAATTTTCACAGATTTATGATTCCATGGCAGTTAAGCTCTTATAGGGGAGTTTGCTGAGGCTCCTCTATGTTACAAATGGTTTCCCTTGCAAAAGGGAAACAGAAACATTTTTTCACAAATGGACCCTCCATTTTGTCAGTGTGGTTTTGTTTCCTGAGATGTTAAAGTACATTAGAAGCAGTGGTGAGAACAGGAAAGCAGATCATGTACTTCCATTATCACTAATGCATCTGCTGAAAATGTTTGATGTTTAGGGCCAGGGGCATTGCTTCCTTTCCATCCATTAAGCACTTCAGGTTGTGCTTAAATGTGCCAGTCTCTGACTTGAAGGGTTTTTCCTCCTGGCATCCACACTGATTGCATCAAAACACCCAATTCAAAGGCAAGCTATGAGCTTAAAGAAAGGTTACTATAGTTTGAATATTTAGCTGGTTGTTAGATTCTAAAAGAATTATGTTTCTTTTCAGAAGACATAACTTCACGTCAGTTCGCACTGTCGCATTTTAACAAAACAGATGTTAACTTCAAGAAAAGTTTGAAAGAGAAGTAGTATCAAAAACAGACCATAATTTGTTCAGTGGACTGGGTAGTACATACGATTCAGATACACATAGCATGAGATAGTTTTTGAAGACCACAAGACATTAATTGGGACATTAATTATGAACTGTAATAGGCATGTCAATTAGCAGTCACTACTTTATATGCTGACTACAAAAATGCAAAAATGTAGATCAAAAGTAGGGTTTATATCTGTTTTGAGGGGGAAGAGAAGAGAGCCATAGAAAAAAAACAACCCGAGATTCAGAGGTTTTAAATATTCAGGTACTATTCTGGCTTTCAAAGGAGATTTGCTTCTCAAAGCCAGCTCAGATTTGCTTAACACATAACACAGGTATTTATAATAAGCATCCTTCTTTTGTCTATCCATCCTGCAACCTTGTACATATATCTACACTACTTCTGCAATGCTGTGCTTTTGTTATTCATACTAGAATCATAGAAATGTTTGAGTTGGAAGGGACGCTTAAAGGTCATTGAGTCCAACTCCCTTGCAATGGACAGGGACACCTACACCTAGATCAGGTGCTCAGATCCCCATCTAGACTTTGAGAGACCTTGAGGGATGGGGCATCCACCACCTCTCTGGGCAGCCTGTTTCAGTGCCTCACTACCCTTATTATAAAATGCTTCTTCTTTATATCCAGTCTAAGTCTCCCCTCTTTTATTTTGAAACCGTTTCCCCTTATCCTATCACAACAGACCCTGCTAAAAAGAGACTATCCCTCTTCTTTCTTATAGCTCCCATTTAGATAATGAAAGACTACTATCAAGTGTCTCTGGGGCCTTCTGTTCTCAAGGCTGAACAGCCTCAGCAGTCTCATTCTTTTCTCACAGAAGAGGTGTTCCATCCCTTGGATCATTTTTGTGGCCCTCCTCTGGACGTACTCCCAGCTCTGTGTCTCTCCTGTACTGAGGACTGCATGAGGACACAGTATTCCAGGCGAGGTCCCACCAGTGCAGAGTAGAGGAGCAGGATCACCTCCTTTGCCCTGCTGGCCACACTTCTTTTGATGCAGCCCAGGATAAGGTTGGCTTTCTGGGCTGGTGAATGTACATTCCACTGAAAAGTAGAATGAAAGTGAAAAGTGAAAAGTACATTCACTGGAATGTATTTAAACCAAAGGCATTGTAGTAACAACAAAATCTTGCTGAAAAATAATCTACCATGGTCTGTTTAAGTATTTTAAACTAGCTCGCTGGAAGATCACATAGTCACACAATGGCTGAGTTTGAAGGCACCTCAAGGTGCCTTCAAACCAAGGCCATCTGGCCCAAACCCTGCTCCAGCAAGGCCACCTACAGCAGGGTGCCCAGAGTCCAGGTGGTTCCTGGAGATCTCCAAGGAGAGGATCCCACCACCTCTGGGCAGCCTGTGCCAATGTTCCATTATCTGCAGAGCAAAGAAGTGCTGCCTGGT